TTATGCCTGCTTTAATTATTATTCACTTTTTGTGCATTCAACTCATGTCGGGAACATGATGCCCCAAAAATGAACTATTAAAACCATCCAAATTGAATTTGTGATAATAATCAACCATCTTTTTTTGGATTGATTCTTTTCAATTTTGATATTTATAGGGTAGATAGAGAGAGAGAAATAAAGTGTAATAAACGAATCCAAATTGGAAAATTTATCAAAATTTTAATTAAGTCGTATTTAATTTAATCGTCATCAAACCAATTTGTGATTAATAGCCATTTTATTAGGTGCAAAAAATTCGAGTCAATTTCATGTTTTTCATTAAAAAACCCTCATATATTAAATCTATCAATTTGTCATTAATTGTTGATTTTTGGTTGTGTTGTGTGTTGAAATAGTTTAAAGGATTTATGCACTGGATGAGTAGTCAAATTACGACTAGCCAGACTCCGCTTCTGACCATAAGAGGAGTCTTCTCACCAAAAAAATCTTATAAGCTAAGTAAACAATTTGTTCACTTATGATTTTTATAAAATTGTGCAGCCAAAACCCTTCCCTCCCTTCCTCTTCGTCTCCTTCCTTCTCTCTTCCATCTCCACTCTTTCGAAAAATTCGTGATTTATGTCTGAATTTCGATTTGATGAAGAGTGAGCAAATATTTAATTTGCTTTCGAAAAAAACATATATTCATATTGGGTCTGTTATGTGGAATATCATAAAACACATTTGATGGATGTGTGAAGCACATCGAAAATGGATTTTTAGTAACAACAACCATTTTCTGACAATAAATGTGTGCTTAAATTATGTTCCGCCAATAAATTCAAGCGTCGTTGTTTTATTACCCGATATCATGAAGTTGAAATGTGATATTTGCTGATTCCGAAATTTAGTTTATCACATCTAAGCGCATATAATGGATGCTATACATTTTAAATTCGGTCCGTATGCGTTCACATACCGCGTGCCACAGCCATCACTGTGAAGTGCAATTGAATGATCGTTAATTCTTTTTATATCTACTTCATTTATTCGCCAAAATACAAATCCTTCAATACAAGCATTTTTTGTTTGTATAAACGCTATTAGCAATTTGTTCGTTTTGTTTTCGTTTTCCATATTTAGTTTTCGTTGTTGCCAGTTTGCTGCACAATGTTTTTTCTTGTTCGTTTTTTTTCTACTGCTTAACACCATTGCACAGCACACATTAGTCGAACCAAATCTAAACAGAGAATGACTCAAATGAAGGAGAAGAAGAAGGAATAAGAAAAAATGTGAATAAATCGAAAAACTTATTTTCTCATCTGTCACCATAAATTTTACGAATTGCACACTACGTTCAAACAACGAGAACATTGCTACTGTCAAAAAATGCTCGCCATAGCAAGCAAGCACGGGATTGTGTTGCACTGCTGCAAGGAAAGTGCTGAGAACAATAAATTTATAGTAACTAAAAAAAAGTGCTGAGAACAAGAGAGTGAGCATGGGAATTTCAAACTAGGTCAATGCGATGAAAAGAACAAAACTAGAATGAGCAACAGCCTGTGCAAGTAAATGTTTTTCAAGTATAAAAAAAGAAGAAGAAAAAACAGGAAGGTTTGAATGTCTATTGTACTTTAAGAGCTTCGAAAATTCGTTACCACGAACATTACAATTTTAAATAACACTTTCCGTATTATAAAAATTTTCGAATATATGCGATACACATTTAACGCGTTGAGCATTTTTACAACACAGCTTCACTTAAGTGGACCGACCAACTACACAGGCTCTAATCTGTGATAATTGCGATTAATCGCTTGTATAGTAAAACACATAAAGTCAAATATTTTAAACAACTGGATTATTTGCCAAACTTTTTGGCAAAGTATAAATTAACCACTTTTTCGTTTGACATCGAATCACTTATAGTTGCTCATTTTGTAAGAACAATATTTTCAAACTTTTACTTTTCTGAACAACAATTTTTCATATTTTTCACTGAAAAATGTGACAGTTGGTCTGAAATTGGTAAAGTTGAATTTTAAGTTCAATTATGGTGTAAATTCAATCAGCTCACTGTAATTACTCCCACGGATGACGATTTTATCCGTATCCTTGGCGGATATACATTTTATTCGTGTCCGTCAAATTGAGCTCGCAAAAATAGATTTATTGTACGTTCGATTGATCTGTATCCGGTTAAAAATCTGAATGCATGCTTCCATTATTAAAATAAAAATTCCATATCGAAATCAATAAATAACTTCTTAATAGCTCTAGTAGATAGAAGAGAGTCCAATTGAATCGGTTAGAATATTTGTGAGCTCAGGAAGTTTGTTAAAGTAAAATATCAACATGTTGTGCACGTTGCAGTTTTATTTTGACACATTTCTTGAGGTCACGAATATTCTAGCCGGTTCACTTAATATCACCAAGCTTAGTTTTGTTGATGAACTTATCACACAAAAATTGATGTTTATTTCATAAATGGACTGTGACTTGTAAATTAAAAACATTGAAATATTAACAACATTTTTATACCTATAACAATCACTTCTATTGTTTTCAATCCGTATCATCGCCTGACAATAGTACCTTACTCTATAGTTCAGTAATTTTTGGTGTAGGGCGGCGCCACCGTATATACATAGAAATTTACATTTAAAATAACGCCATCTAACGTGTTTGATAATTTTTTTCCCCAAAAAAGTGGCACTATAACCCGTCTTTGTCGCCTGACGTCATTCAGATGACAAAATCCAAATATATTGTCTGTTGAAAACCCAAATGCCACTGCGACGTTCTCCTTTCAAAGTTTATTTCTTTCTTTCTATCTATCTCTTCCTCTCTCTATTTCAGCTTCTTTCCACCTCTCATTATCTTTTTCTCATTTGATCCATCTAAACTTCCTTCTTAAATTAAAACATTCGCATTAAAATATTTTCGACGTTTCTCAATTTCAAAATGTGTTTGTTTTCTGGTCATATGTTTACAATACAATTGTCGGCATTATTTAAGTGTGATTCAGTTGTTTGTTTTGAACCTTGCAAAATGTAAATAATCAGAAATTAGTTCACATAGAATATAATGATGTTCACGTAATGGATGATGTACATAAAATAGTATGCACGTTGCCAACGGCGATGTTTTTATGCATTTTTCCCTTCAAGTTTGAGTTTTATGTGCTATTTTTTTCCCATATTCTATTTATTCAAAATCGTTAATGTGCGCGAGCAAGTTTGTCGTTTCTTCAATTTGTTTCGTCCGTACATAGTATTATTTCATTTTTCTCCAAAAATTTCTTCAATGGTTTTCGCATTAAAATGAATAGTTTACACTGCAATAAAGATTACCCGAAAGATGGCGGAAATGTATGGCTTCCCAGAGACTCGCTTTCGGACAAGGTTTTTTTCCTCTCTCTCTCTGTCTGTTTTCATTTGTTGCATTTTGCATGCGAATCTTTTCATCGCAATTTTTGATTTATTTCCTAGTTGAAAATGATGGAAAACTATTTTCTATTTTTATTCGCTTTCTATTCATTTAAAATTTAGTATTTGAATCGAGAGCGAAAAAAATACCGACGTGATATTTGAAATGTGCGCGCTTGAGGCGATTCCATGAATGGAAATTTCGCAGATAGAGTTGATAGTTTGTTGAATGGTAATTTAAGCATGGAACATAAAAAACACTCATTCACTCATTCGGACAGACAAAGAACTGAACGTCTAAACATTTCATTTGGATAAGCAACTTTCTTTCATTTTCGGACTCTCTTGCGAAAAGCTATTTCATCACTTGTACGTGCTCGCACTAATCCGTTCTCTATTTTTTTTTTAACTTACAATTTAACATTGGAATGAAATGTATAGAATCGAAATGGAATCCAAACTATTCGAATAGATTACTTCACGACTTTCACCTGTGAAATTGTGCTCCTTTTTATAGTGTGTGTATCATTGCAGCTACTGTCTGAAACCCGCACGAAAAAAACACGGAGCATCGATTTAAGGAGTCGAGTATGCACTGGAGAACAACTACATTTGAAGCAACGGAATTTTGAATCATTCTCAATGTTCTTTAGTTTTACGGGGATTTTGTTTTTTCATACAATTTGGACACACATAACGGTAACATCGAACACAATCCAGAACACAACTCACGTATAAATGCATTCACACATTCTCTTTTTTTGTGTACCTGTTATCCACATCCACTTATCCAACATGCCTGTGCCATTATTATTTTCTTCCGCTAAGCCAGCTTCATAGTGCTCTTATTACGATTTTATATCGATAAACTTGAGAACTTTAGATCAACAATCTGTGCACAGCATTCATGTGTATATATATCATAATAGAACGGAAACTTGTTCACATTGTGTAATTCACATTACATACGGAAGCATCTTTTTTCATTGAATGCAACACATTTTCATATGGCGTATGATGCAAATGTCTTCTTATCGAAACTTTTGTGATTTTCGCAATGGAAACGAGAGAAAAGAACGTATAACCACATCTAAATCTTCATTGGGACTTATCATTGAATATTCGATGCAATCATCATAATAAAACCAATAACAACCATTATAATAATAATACTTACGCTAGTTTCATGTACACAATATAACTCCGAGGAAATTTTATTACACATTTTGGCTTTGTTAGTAGAAATTGAACGTATCATGCATTGCGGACTTATGAGATTAAAATGTCTATTGAATAACAAGCAATCGTACAATTTATCAACATGAGAAAAGTCAATTTTTTTCGTTTTCATAATTTATCCTCCTATACGTTTATTATTTGTCTTCTTCATGTCATATTTACCTTGCCTGTGTACGATGCACTTGGAAATTGATTTTTTTTTTTGCAAATTTACAGGTATTATACGTACTAAACCGTAAATAATTTCCAAAAAAATTCAATGTCTCATATCACCTCTGACCGTCAATCCAAGAATAGTAAACTCAGCAATTTACCCAATTAAATTGGTAGCGTTCATTTTATTAATTAGAAAAAAAAAATAACATAAAAATGTTATTAATGTACAATTGTTCATTTTGGAAAAATTATGTTCCGTCATGTATTCACTATTCACTAAGTTATACGCAACGTTATTAATTTCATTATCATGTGTCGTGCAATATTTTGATGTCATTGTTTTTCATTTAAAATGTCAAAATTCAATAGTACGTTCATGCATGATTGTTGTATAAAACCATTCAAATTTAAAAAGTAAAAAACGGAAATCGTATATAAAAATACCGTCCGATCTTACATACAATTCAAAACAGTGTATAAAACATTGTACCGAGTTAAGCTCGGTCAATAAAAAATAACAATTTTTTCGTCTGTTTGGCATTTAAATTCAAACAAATAATGCAGATATCCAGCCGTTACCATTGTTTTGTGGAACATCCTTGTTGTCGTCAATGATGCCATTGTCATTTGGTGCACCGTCGTTGTCACCATTGTCTGGTGTGTCCTTCCATACTATGTGCCGTTCATAGAAATTCATGACAGTAATTGGATACTGCACATTGGCTTCGTCCGATGGAATGAGTTTCAATGTACTTTGGTTCTTGAATTTGAACAAAAATTCAAGATTACCGCTGGCTTTGGTTGCGCCCATAATTTTGGCATTTTCTTCACGCGGCTTTTTGGACGCACGCTTTGATTCGGAACAATTTCCAATCTTCTTCTAATGAAAGATGAAAAGCAAACAAGATTTTAGTTGGAAATGCTTGTAAATGAAAATGTGCAAAAATTAAATGTACCTTGGTGACCTTTTCATCTTCGGAATCGTCAAACAGATACTTGAGTGGTCTATTGATGGCTCTGCGACTGCGTTTTGTCACCAAATGAGCTATTGAAGCACGATGACCTTTGTGGCGTGTTTGTCTATCGGTAAACTGAAACGAATATTTTAATTAGAGCTAATGAATCGAAATCGAATTGATAAGAAATAAAAAAATACGCGCACGATACTTTCATACCTCAGAATCAGACGAATCCGATGTAGAATAATCAGATTCCAATTTTTTTCCGGTTGACGTCATTGTCTCTTCGAATGAAAAAAACTCTCTCAAATTGTTGGTCACAATTTACGATTTTCACAAATTAATTGATAAAAATGTAGAATTTTAACGATGCAATACTAAAACAATAGCAATTATCTCTAGACCATGCAAATCGGCTTGAATAAAAATACAATGAAAACCACAAATGTCAATGTTCACCTCGTGTTTTTCGTTTCGTCGGTGTGGCATTGTACCGATGTTTGTGTGCAACGGTTATGCGTGTGATTTGTCAGCGCTATCACAACATCACATTCAGAATGTATTTTCCTTTTCATTCACCCCATTTCATTCACCTAACACACCAGTGCTGTTGCACGGTGGTTCGTACGTTTTTTTCGTTCGTTCTTATTTATGTATGTGAAGTATACGTAAAATGGTTTGATGGTTTACACTCTCTTTGTGACAATTTTGAATGCCACTCAGTGACAATTTGGCCGAAATAAATGTTTCACTTACATTTGTACGTTCAAACGTGAGAAATAATTCAAATTTTGAATTTTTTGGCGCACAAATGTGCGCATGCTCAATTTTTATTCGATGCCTAACAACGAATAGTGACAATCGAATCAAACAATAGAAACATTAACTGAATGTTTATCACAACCAGTTTTGATTTCTTACCTTAATTTAAAAAAAACAAAAGTACATAAGAATGGATCGTTTTGACTATGTTGTATGGCAAGATCGTGAGGTTAAATTTGATATTTCCAATGTGTAAGTTGGATCATTATACTTCAGTTTTGTTCACAATTCAAATAAAATTTGTTCTTTGAACGTAGACAACATAAGATCCGTGGAGGTGAAGAGATTTTGGATATATTCGACTATGTCGAAGATACAAAAGGGAATCCGAATGAGAGAGGTCGTTTGCTGGTGACGAACCTTCGACTTATTTGGTATTCGTTGAACAATAACAAATTCAATTTATGTGTGTTATTTTTGCACTTGTTGTAAAGCCACAAATTATCATAAATATTTTATTATAGCCATTGGTTTCAATTGTATCCTGACAATAACATTGAAATCGGTGCTATCGAAGCTTCGTGGTACAACATTGGCATTATACATTTTGACATTGTGCCGCAACTCACGCTTTGAATTTATATTCACCAATTTGGCGCAGAGCAACACGCGAAAATTTTCATCGGTGCTTGATGTTCATAGATCTTATGAATCGACGGTTTTATACAGAGAATTGAAATTACGAAGTGCCATTATGTCATCGGGTCACTTAATACTGTTGCCAAAGGAACAGGTTTATAGTACTTTCGGTGGAATTTGGAATTTGTCCAGCGATCAAGGCAATTTGGGTACATTAATCGTGACAAATGTACGCGTCATTTGGTATGCTGATATCAATGAAACGTTCAACATCAGTTTGCCACACATGCAAATCGCTTCGGTATATCAGTTTTTACCGTCGCTGAATGATTTATTTAAACCATAATATTTTGTCTCCGAATAGATAAAAATCAGAGACTCCAAGTATGGGCATGCATTAGTGATTCAAACGCTGGAAACTGGCGGTGGTTACACCCTCGGATTCAGGGTAGATCCTGCAGCAAGACTAGTTGATGTGTACAAAGAACTCGATTCTTTGTTTTCGGTTTATTCGGCAACACCAATCTTTGGAGTAACTTATGAGCGCAAAGAGGTTTAATACTAACCATTAACATACTTAGCTATGCAACAATTTGCAAATTGCTTATTTATTTTTGTCCAAATAGGAAGCGCCCGAACGTGATGATGATACAATTTCAATTGATAAAATCACTGAGGTTGACGAATCCAAAACGGATGAGATTAATACCAAATTCTCAACTTATTTGGCTGATGGAACGGACAATGGACGTCGACCGCCATTCTATTGCAAAGAGCTTGGATTTGCAATGGAAAAAATTAAAGACGGTTTTACATTGAAAGATCTATGGGAAGTTATTCCAACTACGAATTGAAAAATGTTTGAAATTCAATTCGGTTTCATATTTGACTATAATAAATTTTGGTTAGAGTAAATGATTTGGCTTTACTATTTATTTCAATTCTTTTATGTGCAGCTGTACATGATTTTACTTATCCAAAAATATACACAAAATTTTGTTGTTGTAGGTAAGCATTACCAAACCGGAACAATATTGTGAATTCATGATTAACTCGCGGCTAAAATTGATATTGATTGAGAATTGAATATAAAAAAGCGAGGACCCATTCCTTTTCTCCAGTGAATTATAATTGGTTTGGAGTTCGTGTATTTTTAGAGAATAAATCATTTTTTTATTTAAATCATAAATTTAGTTCTCTCTCTTTATTTACGTTCAAAATATGAACAGTCAAACATGGAAAAAGAAAAAAAAAACTTTATTGAAACTAATGTTGATATTTGTTTTTTCATTCTGATCCCGAATTTGGTGAACCGGAACCACTACGACTTCCGCTACGACTACGTTCTGAGCCGCTACGAGAATGATGGGAATGCGCACTTCCACTGTGTGATCGTGAGCGAGATGAGCGAGAACCTGAAAATATAGAAAAATAATAGAAATTTATCAACTATCTGATTCACATAGATTTGAGCTCAAAATATGAAGAGAAGTGATTCGCTATACTTAATTCGGTCTTTTTTCTCTAATTTTTGTAAAATACTTACGACTTCTACTTCTGGCCGATCCACTTCTGTTAGATGCAGGGCTAGGTGAACGAGAACCTATTTTTTTTTTACAAAAATTTCATTAAAAAAATGAATTGTAAATAGATATTCAATTTTAGTGCTCACCACTTTTAACCGAGCCGCTGCGGTTTGATGCTGGTGTTCCGCTGCGTGAACGAGAATTCGAACGAGATCTACTGCCTATGAAAAGGTGATATTGTTTAGTGGAAAAACGACAAGAAAATCTATGAAATGCTTACCACTTCGGCTTCTGGCTGAACCACTGTGATTCGATGTAGCGCTACCGCTGCGTGAACGATTTGAGCTGCTACGACTTCCGCTTCTACTACGCTCTGAATCGCTTCGGGAATGGCGAGAATGGACGCTACTTGGCGAGCGTGATCTTGATGTGCGAGATCGTGACGAATGTGACTTATCCGAATGGTCACTTTCATTGCCATCAGTTTTTTCATTGACCTCAATAACTTCCTGACTTTCGGTGATTTTTTCACTTTTCGGTTGTTCGGTTATTTCATGCTCTTCTATTTCTTCGATTTCTTCATCTTCACATGGTGGTTCCAATTGTTTTTCACGATAACGTTGCATACGATCCTCACTCGCGTTCAAAGGAACGTGTTTTATTACCAATCTATTTTGAAAATCATGGAAAAAATTGTGTAAATGTTGTTCAGAAAAATTGATTAAAATTCAGTCACTTACTTTGTATTATTCGGTTGTTGTCCAATGTTTTGTCTACGTTTGTTTAGCCGAACTCGAGTCTCAAGTTCATTGTAATAAACACCATCTTGTCGCATAATCAAAAAATAATTTTCTTCGTATCCTTTCGATGCCTTGCTCTTGACATTCCAATTGTATTCACGGGCCATTTTGTATTCATATTCTTGATCGTCTTCGTACAATATTTCATTGATCAAATCCATACGACGTTTTTCCATCGTTTCTTCCGTCGGCAAAAAGTATGCAACGAATTGTTCACCACTTTCGTCCATCACACCACTGCAAGAGAATAAATTGCATCGAAACCATTGAACATTGAATATTTTCATTTAAAAAAAAAATTCATTAGAGAGACTATCAATACAAACCGAATCATAGCTTGTGACATCTCTTCCATTTGCGCGGTCACATGCTTATTCGTGTTGGCTGGCGCTGGATCACTGTCAAATATAACCTGAGCAAATGGATACTTCCAATTAGCAAAATCTGGATACACCGGACAAATTTCCATTGGCGTAACATTTGGCTTGCTAAAATTAAATAGAAATCAACAATATTACTTTTCGTTGATACAATCAGATTGAAATAAAAAAATGTCCAAATCGAAATCATTAACTTACCTGTAGTGACGTGTAATTGGTTTCTTATTTTCTTCGAATGTTTTTTCAATCGATTTGATTTGAGCCTCGCGATCCATGTACAATGTCTCTTCAACAAATGACTTACGCACATTAAAACCGACTTTTGCTTCAACCTTTTCATTGTTTTGTGGTTGGAACCGCGTTTGTTCCGTTGAAATATATTCCGATTTTCGTAACCATGATACACTTTTGGCATGATGCCGTGATCGTTGTGAATCTTGCGGTGTATGCACTTCTTCTTCCAGCAATCTTTCATCGGCTGGATCCAAATGAGTGTTCGGATCCGATTGGTATAAATCACGATTAATCAGATCAATGGTTACACCCAAATCATGTTCAGTTAATACTTCATATTTGTAGTTGCGTTCAAGTGACGTTGGATTGTATTGAACAAAACGGTCGTTGGCAAATGGATACGTAATGTATTTCAAATCGAACGGAATGTCCGGCAATGTATTGCAATACTTTACTCTGGCAATTAATTCAGATCTGAAACCAATCAATACACAATGAGTGAATAAATTTCAGTGGCACAACAACGGTACTGTGGTGCGTGAAAAGCGTCGAAGTCAACACAAAGTCACAAACACCATTTACAATAATACTTACTTTTTCTCGATTGGCCGCTGTGGCCGAACTTCAGTGCCAGTTGTATTGTTTCCATTTTGGATGGTAGGTGCCATCGCCTTTTTTTATTATTTTATTCAAACGATCAACACACGAGAGAAATAGAAAAGTATTCAATGTAGTCGGCAGAATAACACAACAGATGTCAAACCGCGTTGATTTGACAGCATGTTGTGTTTTTCTTGCAGTTTCTTTTATAGCAACGTTGCACATATTAGTGTTGTCGCTTTTCGGACTATTGACAATTTACTTCTGCTTACAACGAACACAAATAAATGTTTTTTTGATTGCAATGTGAACAAAAAAGAAGAAGAATTCCGTAAATTAATTTTTGTCAAAATTTTAAATTGAAAAAATCGAAGTTTATTTAAAAACAGACACCATGTTCAGTACGAAAAAGTGGTTCAATTTATAAAAACACAACTAAACTGAACCGGATATATTTGACAGCAGTGTCTAAGTCTTTTGGCGGTACATTGATGTTGACAATTGCCTAAACAAAACTTAGAGAGAAAAACCAACGAATCCTAACTGTTTGTGTAATTGATTTGAAATATATCTGAGACGCATAAAAAATAGACGTAAAAATGGAAGTTGACATAAAATTGGAAAATGACGCTGAATCAAAAGAAAATCAAGAAATCGATTCATTAAAAAGTTTGGGTCCGTACATAGCTCAGAAAAATAATGCCGAAAGTTTTGTGTATTTCTCAAATATACCGCAAATCTGTTTCGATGAACCGTGTATGCTTGGTGTTGACGAGGCTGGTCGTGGACCTGTTCTAGGTATGCAATTTACATAAAAACATAAATTCAATATTAAAACGAAATACTGCTTTAATTAGGTCCGATGGTGTATGGAATTGCGTTTTGTCCTCTGGCCAAAGCCGATATTTTGAAAACGCTTGGTTGTGCCGATTCAAAACAGTTGACCGAAGAAAAACGGGAGGAAATTTTCAATGACATTTGCACAAAAGAGTATGCAAATACGAATATGGCGTGGGCCGTTGAAGTGATTTCACCGAATGTGATTAGTAATTCAATGTTTCGGCGCTCAAAACATTCATTGAATGAAGTATCAATGGACTCGGCCATCGGTTTGATAAATCGGGCCATTGCGCTTGGTGCAAATATTGCCGAAGTATATGTTGATACAGTTGGACCCCCAGAAAAGTATGCATACCATCACATTTCCAATGAATACAGCTAAATGAATTGCTTGTAACACTCTCTTTCTCACATATAGGTACGAGGCAAAATTGAGCAAAATTTTTCCCGACTTCAAGATTACCGTGGCAAAAAAAGCGGACTCAACGTATCCAATCGTTTCAGCGGCTAGTATTTGTGCAAAAGTATCCCGAGATCATGCGCTCAAAGTATGGACATTCCCGGAAGGTATTACTGTGGATGGCTTTGGCAGCGGATACCCAGGTACAATGAAATTGAACGCAATATTGACCTATTACACACACAAAATATTCAAACTAATTTATGTTATTTATTGCTCTCAGGAGATCCGGTCACCAAACGATTTCTACAAGAAAACATCGATCCGGTATTTGGTTTTCCGCGTTTGGTGCGATTTAGTTGGTCAACTGCTGAGAATATATTGCTGGCAAAAGCATTAAAAGTTCAATTCGAGGATGCGGACGAAGCAACAACGGTGAAAAAACCTAAAAAACCAATCACAAACTTTTTCACATCAGATAAACCAACGACACGCCCACGGCACATATTTTTTCGCGATCGGTGCTTACAAAGTGTGTCAGATTTGTAAGTTCATCGCGCAAATGTCGTATTTTTCGTTCAATTTTCGACAGTTCATTTTGTAAATGAAGACTTATTATAAAAGACCTTGTTTTCCTGCCAAAACTCAAATAAATGAAACTCTTTTTGTACGGTCATTTCTTTATTCCTTTTTAAATTGATACAAATTAATTAAATGTGGGGACATTTTTAGACGAATTGATATTTTGTAAGTGTGTGAAAATGCGATATAAATCAAATGGAAAATGCTTACACGATCGAATACACTCGACTGCACTCTTAGTTCTACTTCCAAGAGGTGTGGCTGTAAAATAGTCCTAAACACTAATTCTAAAAATAGCCAAATAAATCTGATTGTGATTACAGTTCACAAAAAAAAAATAGATTAATTTCTTCGTGTATCTCTTGCATTCTTAACATCTAATATACATAAAATATTTGTCGTTTGTTTTGTTTAAATCATGCATGTATGGATAAATTGTCACCGGCGTTTTGTTGTCATCAAAAATCAATGTGTGCCTTATAATCAACAAGAATTGTGCCACAATTTATAATTTTCTCATGTCCAATACAAAAACGCTGCCATCTGATGCACTGGCACCAACTTTGCTGCCGCGTGAATTCCAACATACTTCAAAAATGCCGCCGGTACCTTTGTAGCTGTGCACAAGTTGTCCACTTTGTGTGCTCCATATGTGTACGCATTTATCAAAACTTCCCGACGCTAAGAATTTACCATCGGGACTGAATGCAACCGAGTAAACGGGTTCAGTGTGTTTGGTGAGCGTGTGAATGCAAGCGCCGCGTTCAACGTCCCATAAACGAACGGTTGAATCAAATGATGCCGACGCCAAAATCAAATTCATATTTGGATTTTGTGTACCGGCTCCGGTCGGTGACCATTTAATTGTGTAGATTTCTTTTGAATGGGCCTCGAAATTGTGCACACAATTGTCTTGTTTCATTGACCAAATTTTCAATGTCATGTCATCAGAGCATGATGCCAATAATTGACCTTGTGGATCCCATTTGATGGCATTCACTTCGTTTGTATGACCCTGGAACGATTTTATTGGCTTATCAACGCCCATTTTACAAACATGAATACGTTGATCAGTGCTGCAACTTGCGAATGAATTATTTGTTTGCCAATCAACGTCCAATGCGGGTGCCATATGAAACGAAAACTGTTGAGCACATTGACCGGTCGCTGCATCCCAAATTATTGTCGTACGATCAACCTTTACGAACGAAAAAAAGATTGATAAATTTTTTTGTTTGGAAAATTAAGTCAAAATTCCCAGTACTTACACCCGCTGACAGAATATAATTTCCTTTTTTGTTCCATTTCAATGCAAATATTGGCCCTTTATGTTGACCCAATGTATCAGCCAAACGACCATCTGTCGTCCAAATGCGAGCATATCCATCGTAGCTACCAGTTGCCAACAATGTACCGTTGCAATTCCAGTCCAATGACGTGACATCTTTGTTGCTCGGCACTTCGGTGCCGCCTTTTTGAATGCAATGACGCAATACCAATTGATTTGGACTGGTCGAATTATCGGACATATCCCAAATACGTGCCGTACTATCACCAGAACCACTGGCCAACAGATCTGTTGTTGGATTCCATGCACATATGAACACTTCACTTTCGTGACCACGCAAAACGGTCGCCTTTGACGCTGGAATTTCGATACTTTGATCAACATCCATTGTTTCTTCTTGGGCTGGTGTCGTTGTTGCAGCTGGTGTTTTTTCGCCATTAATTTCGGACGGTGCCAGTGGTTCGGTTTTTGTCGGTTCGGTTTTTATATTCTCAACTTTTGGCGCAATCTTTTGACTTTTTATCTCTGGCATTACAGCATCGATTAAACTTAAACCTTCGGTTAAACGATTCAATGTACCTGACAGTTCAATTAGTTAATTAGTCAACGAAACAACAAGCAAAGTGCATAAAACAAAAGTCTCACATACCATCTTCACCAATACTGATTTCAGCTTCTGTGTACTGCAAACCTTTTTGCAAAATGGTCAACAATGCAGCTGGTGGCACGAGCGCACCATTTATATTGCTTTGAGAGATATGCGATTCGATGCCGAACGTGTATGCGGAATGATGAAAGCCTGAAAATTGATATCGGAATCTATTACCAAATCTCACCAAAATTGTTTATAATTTATTTATTTATTTGCTTAAATTGACTAATTTACCTGATTCTTGTAAATAGCGATAAACTAAAAAGTTTACTTCATCACTGGAGAAACTCATATTGATTTCGGTTATAGTTCAATCGAATGTTTATGAAATGAATAAAAACTAAAGTGCTTGGGATATTGTCTTTATGCGACTAAATGATGAAAAGACGCCATAGCAGTACATGTCATTCTGTCTCTCTATGATGACACACTCCAATCGAATTTGGTTTTACAGCAGTGTAGTTCGTTGTAAACCGAAAAAAAAATATCAAATTAAAAGTGGTATCTTTCGATTAACAGTCAAATATTGATTGAGATTTGATTGAAAAATATAAAATATTTACCGTCAATCGTATAATATCATTTAAAAATGTGTTTTTTTTTTTGTCGAACGAACTAAACTGCTGTAACACCAGAATCGGGCGTAGAACATACTCCAAAAAAGTGTACCGCATTCTATGTTGGTATTGGTTATGTCATGTGTGTAATGTGTTCCAATGAGCCTAACACATTGTATACGAGCAACGTCGTCTTTCTTTCTTGATTAAACACGCAAACTGTGTGCTTGTACTCTCAAGAGCTAAGGACAATCGTCTACTTGCACGATAATTTTTTTAAGTGAAATTTATAAAAAACCTACTCATTTCCCAGAAAAATGACATCCAAAGCTGAATTGGCCTGCGTTTACTCCGCACTCGTCTTGGTTGACGATGATGTTGCTATTACTGTAAGTGAATTTAAAATATCCAATTTTTTTTTGTTCATGTGTTAAAATGTCAAATCAAAAACGAAAATTCCATGAAAGAAATCGTAAAAAATTTCATCACCTTGTGATCATCGAACGATAAAAATTGTGTAAAATGAATGTTTAGTGCCTAAGAATTCGATGTCAATGAATATTTTTGTGAATTTTCACCAAAAAATGTGTAACATTCAAATAAGAAAATGTTGCTGGCCACAATTGTATTCGCCAAATAGATTGAGGTTATGCTCATGTTGTATTGTGATTGTACTAATGCGTGGATTGTGTTTATTTTTTATTTTTGTACATACAGAGCGAAAAGATCTCAACGATCTTGAAGGCTGCCAACGTTGATGTTGAACCATACTGGCCATCACTCTTCGCCAAAGCCTTGGAAGGTGTCAATGTTAAAGACTTGATCACCAACATTGGTTCAGGAGTTGGTTCTGCTCCAGCCGGTGCTGCTGCTCCAGCTGCCGGTGCTGCTGCCCCAGCTGCCGCTGAAAAGAAAGAAGAAAAGAAGGAAGAATCAGAAGAAGAAGAAGACGATGACATGGGATTCGGTACGTCTACATTTTATTTTTATTTTAATCAATTCATCGTTTCATTTCTTGTACCAATTATTTACTAATCGATTTCGTTCAATTGTGTCATTGCAGGTCTCTTTGAATAAACACCAGACTCTTCCTGAACAAGCTTTTTTGTTTTGTACAGTTCTAATGTACATCGGAATAAACAGTGTTCATTGAACATCCAAACACAAGAAAAACACGGTGTATTTTGTTGACTCTTTTTTTCTTTGAATTTTCAGTGATGATTGCATGTTATTTGTTTGACTTTTCTGCATTCTATTTTAAGTGAAAATTTCTTTATTTTTCATAATCATTTCGAATGTAAATCTTAACTTTAATACGGATTTGGTATCGAATACCAAACAAATAAACATTATTTAGGAATAAATGAACATTCACATTGAGGTAAGATTTGTATGGAATACCGTGTCATTGAAGTGAGGTTAGGTTTGTATGCTATTTGCGCACAATTTATTTGACTGTTATGTATACAATTCTGCGTTGCAATTCGGATGAATGAAATATTTTGAATGAAAAGGTAAATCTAATGAATTAGAATAGAATATGTTCCGCGATAAATAAATACTTTGTTGTTTTCAATTTTTCACAAATATTTTAACAATATTTTGAAAATTATTTCAATTTTCGAGGAAGTCCCTCAAAGGGACGTTCATGCTAACTATTTGAATTTACCAGTATTTTTTTAATGGCATTAAATATTCGAATTTTGTATTTTTTGATTCACGCTGTACAATGTACATTCAGTTTTCTTCTTTCCAGTGAGTCTTCATAATAAATGAAAACGCTTTTTTCACGGATCGTTCCTCTGAGGAGGAAAAACGGTAAGGAGGAAAATGAGAAGGAGAAGAGCGCTGAAGAGGAACATATTTTTAACCAAAAAATTCCCGCTTTTTTTCCTATCCAATGAGCATTAAATTCCCGATGATCGAAATTAATCTTCTTTTTCGGTATTGAGAAAGCACATTCATACAAGTTTGGTTTTCTATTGGTTAGGGCTGTCGAATTTTGTCTCTCTCTGAGAAAGTTTTTTGGTCGATGCCTCATTTTGGCTCGGAAATATGAAAAGTTCAAAATGCTATAAAAACGTTTAAAAATTATTTGCACAAAACCATATAATTTTTATTTGAATTCTGAACTCTGAAAAACTGAGACATTTATGGAAATTATTGGAGGAATAAAAAAAATCAAAAAGAGAAAAGTAAAAAAAGAAGAAGAATAACAATATGCTATAGTAACTATAGTTCGTATACTATAGTTGAGTAGCCCGATAAAATAAATTTAAAATTCGTAAAAATAATAAGTAAAAATGTACATTGGCAGGGTGAATCAAATATGTTCAAAGTTTGAATATTTTCAATCAATTTTTAATCTTTTGGTTCTAACGACAAGAAAACTCTCGTTTCTTTGAGTCAGAAGATTTCTTGGAATCTCTATTGGTATGTAAATTCCGAGAGACAAGTGAGAAATTCATTCATTCATTCATTCATTCACTGAATATCATCGAAGCATGTGCCATCAGGCAACACGAATGAAGAACACCACATCAATGTATGCAATTGAATGGGCGAGACTGTGGTATTGGTGAATGACTACGTAAATGTGCGTATTCATGTTGTCGCTTCTGTCAAATAATAATCTTTGCACACAAAAAAAAGAAATTTCAATTCAGTTTGATATTAGTCGTCGTTGACTCAGCACTGCACATAAACAAAGCACAAAACTCTGTCACTTTCCATTTGGCTGCTCTAAAACGTAAAACTGAAATCAAATCACACGAAATTAAGTTGAAAATTGCGAAAAACTTATAAAATTGTCTGTTCTTTTTGTTACATTTAGTATTTTAATAGTTTTATGACATCTCAGTGGAATTGATTCGAATGGAACCATAAATCGAATGCAAAGTTACAGCTTATGAAGTGATTTTTAGTTTTGAACAGACCAAACGTAATATTTGTGTTTTTGGTTTACAACGATGAATTCAACGTATATGTAAAAGTCGCTTCATCGAAGAAAAAAGAGAAAAGAACTACGTGTTTCGTCGTAAATTGTGTCGCAGTAGTTGAGATATTCGTGATTGAATCAAATGAATATTTAATCGGTTTATTACGGAAAATGTGATTGAGTTCGCGATTATTCGAATGAAATTGACAAATATCAATTGAAAAAATTGCGTTTTTTCTTCACTTCGTCTCCTTCTGCATTTCCATTCAGTTTCAACGTCACTTTCATTGCATTCGGTGTGTGTGGAGTGTTTTTGTTTGTTTCATGTCAAACGTCACAATTATGTACTTTTTTTGTTATTCGTTGATCCAACTTTTGTTGCTGTGGTGATAGTTTTTGAATCGGTGTGCCATACCGATTTATGATATTTGTGCCGAGAGAAAGAGAGAACATCAAAAGAAACAAAAGTGAAGAAGAACAAAACCGAAACGTCGAGAATATCTGTCATAAAACCAAACAGGAAATAAACAGAAAATTCAAACTTGGAGAAAAACAAAGAACTGTTTTGTAGGATTTCTTTGGTGCAAAAAAAAACATTGAACCTTTTGTGAGTGCTGAGCAAGTGAAACAGAGAGCTTGCACTTTGAACAAACACCTTTTCAACATTGTTGACTGTGAATTAAAAAGAATGTGAAAGAATTGTTGCTGAGATGCGATTGACTTAAGCAATTTTTCTTCTTTCAAGCAAATCTTTTCAGTTTTTTTTTTTGAAAGACGGAGACACAAAATCAAAGTAAACGTATTCTATTTTACTACATAAAACAGTTGCATACGATTTTCAACTAAAGAATAATAAGATAGTGCTCAACGAGTAAGAACCAACTTGAAAGCGATTCGCAACAAAGGCATCGTCATCACAGTGACGAAAGAGAGCGAGATAGAAATCAAAGAAACAGTAAATTATCGTATAAAGTGTAAAGTGTTGTGTGACAATCGGGATAATATGGCGGTGGTGCGAAAGAAACAAGACGATAAAAATCTAAAAATTTTGCGCGAACTGGTTTCGGTGAGCGGGAATAAACAATGCTTTGACTGTAATCAAAAAGGTCCGACTTATGTAAACATGACAATTGGATCATTCATCTGCACTCGATGCTCCGGCGTTCTGTAAGTATAAAAATACATTTTTTTGATTATTTGCTTAATTTATTGTCCTTGCCACGTCAGAGCGGGCAAAAAATCAATCAAAAACACATTAAGCCATGTCTGGCTGACGTCAAAAATCAGATATCACACACATTCAGATGAAATGATACAATCAATATGAATCGATTTGTCGTTGGCGAGAGGAGAAACAAATCAATTTACTACTCTATTACTCGTTGAATGTGTCTGTATGCGTGCGCCAATTTGGCGACTATTTGAAAGTTGAACATATCAAACGCACACAAAGCGTCACAGTTTCTCCCGTCCGGTAGAAACGAGAAAAAAAACACAAACACAAACTTAAAAATGAACAAATATGCAATTGTTCGAACACACACAAAAAAAAACCGAATGAAACAAATGCTAACCGATACTAAAAAAGAAACGAACACGTTTCTGAGATGATTTATGCATGGGAAATAAGACAACGCTCATCTCAAAAGAAAAACAACACAAATATAAATATTAAATGAAAGTCAACAACAATGAGGCAGATGCCACACTCAGATTGGCTTTGAAAATGAGCTAAACAACAGAAAAAATGCACAGATTTCGGTCGATTTTTGTGTGTTTTTTTTCGCTGTCGTCGTCGTCATCGTTTGTTTCTTTCTCTCGATTTGGTGAACAAGTGAGTGCGGGAGCCGTATTTGCTGAAACAAGTGACTTTTTTTATTTAGCATATGCATCAAATGAATAAGGGCACGTCGCCAAAGGTTCAATTCAAAGTCAAATATATTTATAAGCGACTTGCAAAAGATAGTTAAAGTGAAAAGACTTTGTTTCGTCTTCAATTTATAAATAGATAAAACGCGGACCTTTTTTTATTTGTTTGTTAGTCGCACATTTTTTTCCCGTTTCACTCTCTCTGTGTGTTGCTACTATATTTTAGAATATATGCGACAGATTCATTTAGTGTGATTGCACTAATTGTATGAAGATTGTTTGCTGCACGCGAATGACACGGTGAAAGTCATGCATATTGTCAACTTCATGAAGGAAAAAAAGAAATCACGAACGTACAAGCGAAATCCATTTTTTTCACGTCAAAAAATGCACTGACAAGTGGCCTCTTTCTACTATCGGCTAATTTTATTACCTTTTTTTCACCACACTGTCAATGCACAGAAACAAATTATAGACTGCATACAATTACTTTTCTGTAAAAAGTTTTTTTACGCGAGAAAAATTCTGCGCTGTTTTTCTCGCTTGAATTCAAGCAGAAAAAATTTCGAAGAAGAAATAAAACTGTAAATGCTTGGTTTGGCCGCGTGATAGATTGTATACTTCATTTGAATACTGAAGAGAATACTTAGAATCGCTGGTACGCTCAAAATGTATTCGCAATTAGAAAGACTAATCGGCCACAAGAAAATAGGCATAAACATTTGACGTATCTGTCTCTTTCGTTCTCTCTCGCCTTATGTACTCCATGCGCACGGTACACCGAGAGAAGAATAAACCAAATATGGAACATGCCATGAGATAATGATCGTAGTTATTTAAATTCAAGCCAGTGGAAAAATAACTAGGTGCATTACTTTTCTAGTGTTCATAGTTTCTATATTCATCACAACCGTTTGTTTGCATCTAACCATATTACGCTGAATGTATTTGTATGCGGTGTGTACGGTTATTGTTCCGGCCGTATGTCTTGCACATTTTGCTTGGCAATGTGTTTGCCATTTCATTCCGTTTAACAGGCAAAATTATAATTAATTACTACTTGACCTACCTATTTACGTATCTAAACTTTGTTCTACATTTTCATGTTTATTCGGCGCTGCACAAAACACAATGTTACACTCTTTGGTTTAGTTCGCGTCTTTACTAAGTTCGAAAGGGAATTGCGACTACGCAGTTTTTAAATGTGGTTCCATTAGTTACGCTAAATTCATTTCCTTCATCCAAATTCAATTTAAAAACGTTTGTAGAACAATGAGACGTCAATCAATAAAATTAAACGATAACTTTTCGGTGTAACTCTATTGCTGGCAACGATGGAAAATGATGCGTCAATTAAATGTTTTCCGCAATTTACAATGCTCCACAATATGGGCGTGACTCCGAATGAATTGCGCTGAAGCTTTTGTTTTCTTTTTGGAGTCTTTTGCCGAAGAAATATCACATTCAAGAGATGTCTATTTTAAATCATTTGGCTCTTTGTGACAACCGACTTTGCATTCGAATGAGTAGAAAACATCCATTTTGACGAATGCACGAATGTTACCGTGCATGAATTATACTTTTTGAAATATTTTATGCAAAATATGCACTCAGAGCCACGAGTTGAACGACGATTCCAATCGTTGTGGCATGAGTTGAATTCTTTTGATTGCAATTTTGCTGCTGTGCACAATCGTACACGCGCAAACAACGCCGATCATCATTCGCATCACAATAATTGCGATTTAACAAAGTCAACAGTGCCTGCGGTGACAGAGTCGCTTTAAAGTACATTTCGGAGATAAAATTGTGCACGGTGTTGAAAAGCAAAAATTCGAACAAAAGATTTTTGGCAGAATAAAAAATACCTTCTGTGGAATTTCTGTTAATCGCCAGTCGATTAGAGACCAGAGACAGAACGAACGCAAAAATCACACAACGAGATTTCTCGCACTCTCCGAAAAATGAGATGGCAAAAGCTACGATCTCCGAAATGCGGCACGATACACACAAAACAATAACGAATCAACACAGTAAACGAGAGAAGAAGAAAAAAGCGCCAACACACGTAAACATAGATTGGAATGCACATAATTCACTTTTGAATTAATTGATGCCGCCTGGTACGGATTGTATCGTGATGTTATGATGTTAAATGGCGATTCGTGTGACTACAACAACAACCACCAGTCGAAAAAAGAACAACAACGGAAAAGTATCAAGCGAAAAAAAAAACACACGATACACAACGCCTTGTGTGCGCTCGCATTCGATTGCAACGAACTCGATGCTATCGGAGAGACAGAACGAAATAAGCGCATGTTAAAACCTTGGTGTTTTGTGGCAGCGACCCATGCAAACGACCGAACATATTTCGTTTTTGCTGTTGGTGCTCTCTCTGTCTCTGTCTCTTTTGCTTATTCTGTGTGTTTTTTGGGTTTTTCGGTGTCTGTTACATCTTTCCGTTCTCGATATTGGGTTTTTTCATGAATGTCAATGGATAAACAGTGTCTCACATCGGTTCGCAGCCGTAGTAACACCAACAGTTAGATTAGAAAACAACCAAGCGATGACTCATCCACACTAATCGAAATTATCAGAATATGCTTTGGCAAACAAAACATCGATAAGAGTCCCACTTGCAGTGTGTTTTTTTGTGGTTTTGGCATTTCATCAGCTGGGTTTTACTTACTTTTTATATTATTTCGGACTTGGGTCAATGTTTTTCGGCTTCCTTCAAATTTGCGATTACGTTTCCAAATTTTATTTACAGTTATGATTATGCTATTTTGGCTACACCATTGCACAGTAATCAGTGTAAATAAAAACAGTTTACAAAAGATTGCATGAATATTTTCTATTTGATTTGACTAATTTAATCAGGTTTCATGCCATTTTGGCACAGTGACTTTGCCGTGACTCACAAATTTTAGAAACTGTTACTGTGTATGATTTCGAAATCACTTTCTCGTGACTAAGCCCACTGATTATTCTTTCGTTGAATGTTTTCAAATGATTGAGCAAGTAAACACTTCCAAAAGTGAAAATATTTTTTTATCAAAAAAAAAATCTCTTTTGAAGTGCATCTCGCCATTAAATTTTGTATTAAAACGGGGAGTTATTAAATTAAAATTGTCGCCAAAGTTATTTTTACAAACATTTTGCTGAATTTATTTTTAGGAAATTCCGTTGTGGGAATTCAGATAAATCTAATTATCAAACCATACCAGACAGAACGTTCCATATTTGTTCGTCGAACTCTGTCGATATCAGCGTCAGTAAACGAGCACGCTTTTACTATATTAAAACTATAAGCTGCTTTGTTTCCGTTTAATTGTTTCCTGTGGAGATTACTTCCAGTGAAAAAAAATTGGAACTGCGCGTGTCTGAAGAAGCATGCTTAAACATTTTTTATTATCAGAACAAACATTCTTAATACGAGTTGGTACGGGTTGGTGCAAGTAATTGCCGTGTGTGTAATGATAAGACTTTTGTCCATGCAATATAATATGATGACTTTAAATTACCATGAAAAAAAAACGGCATCAGACACAGGCCAGTACAGGCTGGTACTTAGAAAACATTCTTTCAAAAGAAAATGGTGACATTTGAGTTGTGTGCCATTGGATAGTCGCAGTCATTGCATGAATAATGAAGATGCATGGTACGAAAATAGCTATAGAAAATGAAATGAACAGGCGTTCATTAAATGAAATGACGCTGAATAATAATGAATGAAATACAGAAAGAGTTCGCTTTGCTGTGAACGTTGCATGGTTTCATTATGGATTAAAGTAAGTCAACGGCTGAATAAATTATACTTGTGTCTGTGGATCTGTGTGTGTTCCGTTTAAAACGGTCACTCCGTCGCATCGATGGAATTCATAAGAAATTTGTTTGTTTTCATCATTTTGCAAATAACATAACAAAATAAACGAGAACCATGTTATTCGATCCACATTAATTCCCGAATACATGGCATTCGATTACAGATTATCCATCAGCATTATTGGCGACAACCATATGCATTCGAAAAAAATTCAATAACGACGAAAAAGAAAGCTAAATTTGGCATTAATCAAACATTGGAAATACAATATACTGTCTTTTGTTTGCATGGGACACACATTGTGTATGTGCTCATGTGGATTGTTTAACAATCGATGTTGTATGCCGTTGATTTTTATTGCAGAAAATGTAAACAACAGCTCACATGACATCTGAAGCAAGTCGAAAATATAAAAATGCTTAATATTACTTAGTAACAAATGTATCTGCAGAATTTCTATATATAAAAA